CATAATCAGCAAGGAAATCAGTAATCAAAAATGTACCAACATCAAGGCATCAATCCCATTTGCAACTGCACCAAAAACCATAAGATCCCTAGGAATAAACCTAACCAAAGAGATAAATGTTCCATACTCTGAAAACTATAGAACACTTATGAAAGAAACTGAAGAGGACACAAAGAAATGGAAAAATATTCCATGCTCATAGAGTGAAAGAACAAACATGGTTAAAATGTCTATACTACCCAAAACAACCTACACTTTTAATGCAATCCCTATCAAAATACCACCAGCATTTTTCACAGAGCCAGAACAATTTTGGAACCACAGAAGACCTGGAATAGCCAAAACATCCCGGAAAAAGAAAAGCAAAGATGGAGACATCACAATTCCAGACTTCAAGCTGTATTTTGAAGCTGTGATCACCAAGACAGTATGGTATCGGCACAAAAACAGACACATAGATCAATAGAATGGAATAGAGACTCGGAGAAATGGACCCTCAAGTCTATGGTCCACTAATATTCGAAAAAACAGGAAATATCATCCAATGGAAAAAAGACAGTCTCTTCAATAAATGGTGCTGGGGAAATTGGACAGCCATATGCAGAAGAATGAAACTGGACCATTTTCTCATACCATACACAAAGATAAACTCAAAATGGATCAAAGACCTCAATGTGAGACAGGAATCCATCAAAATCCTAGAGGAGAACAACGCAGCAACCTCCATGACCTTGGCCACAGCAACTTCTTGCTGGATACGTCTCCAAAGGCAAGGGAAACAAAAGCAAAAATGAACTACTGGGACTTCATCAAGATAAAAACTTCTGCACAGTAAAGGGAACAGTCAATAAAACTAAAAGGCAATGTATGGTATGGGAGAAGATTTTTGTAAAGGACATATCAGATAAAGCACTATTATCCAAAATCTATAAAGAACTTATCAAACGCAACACCTAAAAAATAAATAATCCAGTTAAAAAATGGGCAAAAGACATGAACAGATATTTCTCCAAAGAAGACATACAGGTGGCTAATAGACACATGAAAAGATGCTCAATATCACTCATCATCAGGCAAATACAAACCACAACCACGATGATATACCACCTCACAACTGTCAGAATGGCTAAAATTAACAACACAGGAAACAACAGGTGTTGGTGAGGATGTGGAGCAAGGGGAACCCTCCTACACTGTAGGTGGGAATGCAAAGTGGTGCATTCACCCTGGAAAACAGTATGGAGGTTCCTCAAAAAGTCAAAAATAGAGCTACCCTATGATCCAGCAATTGCACTACTAGGTATTTAACCAAAGGATACAAAAATACAGATTCAGAGAGGCACATGATCCTCAATGTTTATAGCAGCATTATCAACAAGAGCCAAACTATAGAAACAGCCCAAATGCCCATCTACTGATGAATGGATAAAGAAGATGTGGTATATATATACATAATGGAATATTACTCAGCTATCAAAAAGAATGAAATCTTGCCATTTGCAATGATGTAGATGGTGCTACAGTATACTATGCTAAGTGAAATAAGTCAGAGAAAGACAAATACCATTTGATTTCACTCATATGTGGAATTTAAGAAAGAAAACAGATGAACAGAGAGGAAGGGAGAAAAAAAAAGAGAGAGGGAAGCAAACCATAAGAGACTCTTACCTACAGAGAATAATCTGAGGGTTGATGGAGGGAGGTGGGTGGGGTATGGGCTAAATGGTTGATGGGTATTAAGGAGGGCACTTGTGATGAGCACTGGGTATTATATATAAGTGGTGAACTGCTAAATTCTTCTCCTGAAACTAATGTTTTACTATATGTTAACTAACAGGAATTTAAATAAAAACTTGAGATTAAAAAAAAAACAATAACAACAAAAAAACCATATAAATAGTTTAAAAACTCAAATATAAATATCAGGAATAATTCCATCATTCAAAAACATGCACATATATTTCTATGTAGTTAATGAAAGAAATGTCTTATATGGCCAAAATCTTTTGGAATGAGAAGCTCATACATAATTTTGCTTTTTCTTATCAGAAAGATAAAAAAAACATTTTAAAGCAAAAAATAAGATGAAGTTTAATGGTAATTGGACTAATGATTTCACAATCTGATTTTTACAAAAGAGCCCCATGTGTTTGTAAATTAAACAAATTCATGAGTCAGAAAAGAAATCATAAGAGAAATTACAATTGAATGACAATAAAATACTACATATAAAAATCTGCGAAATTCTTTTAACATCATATGTAGTGGAAGATTTATAATGATAAATTCTTATTTTAGAAAAGGAGCTTGATAGTTACTGGGCTAAAAGTCCAGGAGAAAAAATAGAAAAAGAGCAAACATAAAGCAAGTAAAGAAAATAATAAAGATTAAAACAAAAATTTTAAAAACAACATATTCAGTGGTGAGGGTGATGAAACCAAAATCAGAAAATACATTAGAAATTGATTACTGTAATTTATCACATGGTCACACTCTCAAATTAATTGAGAAAAACTCCATATTCCTTCATAATTAAAATGTCTCAGCATACTAATCCTAGAAATGAACTTCCTTATCCTGAAGAAGCAAATCTAAAAATGGTGAAACATTTGTATAATTCCCTTGTAAATTCAAAAGCAAGAGAAGAAAATCCTCTATCACTGTTACTGTTTCTCATTGTAGTGAAGATCCTAGCTGGTACAGTAAGACAAGCTAAAAAAGAAACAGTGACAAGAAACTGCCATTATTCACAATATAATTAACATATAATCCCAGAAAATCTATAAATTATCAGAACAAACAGAATTCAGAAAGACTGTAGCATATAAAATCAGTATGTAAAAATATCAATCATGTTCCCATTTACCAGCAAAAAATCAGAAAATAGGTTTTAAACACATTCACACATTTCCCAGTAACAACAAAAACTATAAGGTAATTAAGAGTGAATCTAACAAAGCAGCTTATAAATTACATTATTATGATATGGTATATGTGGTTTCATATAATGTAGAAAATAAGTTTCAATTTTACCATTTGGTGCTAGCTTTGTTTTTCATTTGGCTATTTCTTTTTACAACTCTTATTCCTCTTCCTCCCTTAATAAGCGTTTTGGTAAATAAATTACCTTAAAAAACACAATTACCTGGTGCAGGACATCAGAAAAAGCAGGGCAGCAGCGTCAATAATCTTCATTGTCTTCACTAGATGAACCATTTTATGAATGCACCAAGGAAATGGATTCATTCTGCAATCCCTCAAAGACTGAAAAATAATAAAATAAGGTAAAATGATTTCCTCTGTTATTGTCCATCTCTCTTCCCTGGCCTCCTTAAGTCCTTAAGATCTACCATACTCCCATTTCTATTATATATTCCTGTAAAACAGTTAAATGGATAGTATTAAAAGAGGTCTACTGCAAATTAAGAGCATAGATTCTGGAAGCCCTTTAGAACAGGGTCTAGCACATAAATGTTCAGTAAATATGTGCTATTATTACAGTTTTCAATGATTTGAATCACTAGAGGAAATTATGTAGCTCTTGAACTTTTTGCCTTGCACAATCTCCTTTGTTTTCTATCTGAGCACTGCTATCCTTATGCCCTACGCCCTACCACCATTACCCTTTTGGACATTGAAGTAAAGTTGAGGCAAATCAGAGTGTAAAGGAATGACTGGATGATGCTTTCAAGCAAAACCAGAGCTCATTCTTTTTCTATGCACTATCTCTAAGTCCCAAGTCCAGAGCCTCCTTAGTTTCCACTGTTATTCTAGCATTTACTGACTTATTTATTCAAATATGTTTCACTCCTACTATGTACCAGGCACCATGCCTTGTCATCCATTCCCTACAGCTCCCAGCACAATGCCCAGTCCTTTGCAAGGGCTCCATAAAGGTTTATTGCATGAATGAAGAAAGGATGCCCTGTTTCCTTGGATTACAAGAATCTGTGATGCTTGGGTCAGATTTGGTCTTCTTTCTTGCATTCTAGAAGGTCATCTAAATAGAAGGTTGTTTCCCTGATAGGAAAAACTGGACTCCTAAAATACATCACTTGATAGAAAATCTTCCAATGGTTACCACCACCTTTGGATTAAACTACATACTCTTTAGCATAACATTCAAGGCCCTGCAACACTCTATCGCACCTCCAAGTCTTTCTCCAAGATTCAGTTACACCCAAGCTTTTCACAGAAGAAGCCTGCTTTGGGGCTTTTGTACTGGAAACACCAGGCCTGAAAAGCATTCTCTCCCTTTCCACAAGACAGATGTCACTCACCCTTTAAGGCCCACCCAAAGTTCCCCTTTCCTTTTTGATGGGTCATGATTACAACCGGAATGACTTTGTCCATCCCGGGTGATCCCTGCATACCCTGAACAGGCACTTGGGTTTTACACTTACACAGTGTAACTTTTTCCTTTTTTTTTTTTTTTTTACTTACGAAATTTTCCTGCCACACACAGAGAGAAACACATTCCTGAAGACTCACTTTAGAATACCCTCTGTCAGCGCAGGAATTAGGACTGTTAGCATAGGAATGAGGCCTTCCATATGTTATTGATCTTGAATCAATGACTCTTTTTAAGTGGAAAAGTTTCAAATATACACAAAAGTAGTGAGAACAGTATAATGAATCTCCACGTATACATTACCCAGTTATGATCAACTCATAAACATTTTGTTTGTAACCCCCACTTCGGCCCCACTGAATTACTTTTAAGCATATCAAAAGATTTAAATCTATTTCTTAAAAAATATAACCACAATTATCATAGCTAATATATTAAAAATAATTACTTAATGTCTATAAATATCCATAATTTCACCCAAACGTATTTTGTGAAAGAGCTATTTAATGCCCCCTTTTTTGTTTGTTTATTTTGTTTTTAAATTTTGAAATCGTGGAAAGAATAGAGAAAAGAGGAATGAGATCTGGGAAATTGAATGATTAAGTTGCAGAGAGCCTGGATGTTCAAGATGAGAAAGAAAGAATCTGACCTGGTTTGGGGTGGGAGAAGTATATTCTACTACTTCTCCGGAGGAGGAGGGTGCGATTTCAGGCCCGGTGATGCAGGAGAAGGTGCGGAGGGAAGAGGGTTACTACCTCCGTTGGGGGTTCCTTCTGGATAATCCCACCGTGGAGCTAGGAGGCAGCGCTTTTTTGGAGGCCTGGTTTCCCGGGTATTTCCAGGTGGGAGTGTGGATCTCCCGGAGGCACAAGGTTGGTCCCCCATAAGGATTATAGGACTGGGCGTCAGCTCTCTCTAGTGGGCCCGGCGAGGCCGAGACCTGAGATGGCGGCGGGTCCTTTCCAGGCACAGAGCTTCCTCCGGGTTTCGCGCTTACCGTATTTCCTGTATCCTGAAACGCATATCCCCTCTCCGTCTCCACCCTCCCCTCCCTACTCCACCCTATTTTAATGTTTCTACAGAGGAGGGTCTTAAGAAGACGAGGTGTATATTTAATATTTAATGTTTTTCCTCTGCCCGTCCCCCCAAATGTAACTAAATCTATGTTCTGTCTTACACAATCTATGCAATTTTAAAATTAGAAGAAATTTAGGTTTACTCCTAAATGGTGAACTCTGCATAGATTGTGGAAAAGCACGGAGGGCGGGGGGGGGGGTAGGTGCGCAGGTGTGGGGGAGGGGGGAGAACAAAGAAATTAATTCAAAAGCTAAGGGCTTTACTATAGAGTTGCCAATGAGCAACACAGAGCCAGGAAACTACCTAGGACCATTTAAAAAACAATACGCAAACGTATTAGTTGACTAAAGTGCGGAATAGCACACTAGCATTAACCATGGTAATTGAATGTGGAAAATAGTCACCGTATGTCATAGAATGTAATGTCACTTATTTATTCGTATTTTAACAAATTAGAAATCTCTAAAAGCTTACTTTTTTAAATGTCTAATTTTTTTTTAATGTTTCAATATCTATCAAATTTCATTTGATGAATCTCAATCTCAGTTGATGGGATGTCATACTTTAATTGGCAATGTTTTTGTTCTCTTTTCCAGAGTTATGGAAAATAATAATTCATCTTACGATCTGGTGTATTATATTCTAGGATATATGGTAAGTAACCAGAAGAGGGTGCAATGTGGCTTAGAAGAAAAGGCTACTGGAACTTAGACCTTCATCGTTTACGTCTATCCCCCTTTGGCTATGTACAAACTAGACCACTTTTACACCGCTGTCCTCAGTGTTTTTTAATAGAGAGAGTTCAATCCTTAATGTCAAAATAGAACTGACTTTTAAAATACTCTGTTATTTATAAGCTCTGTGATATTTAAGTAGTCGATTAAACACTTAGAGGTATAGTTTCCAGGAGATAATAATTTCTTCCTTTTAAAACTATTGCCATAATCAGGGATCATGTATTTAAAGTACTTATTAACCATGATTGCCTCTCATCTTCACCATCACTACCTTCCTCTAAGTACCAGTGCTGCCCTTTACACAAACTAGATACTAAATAAATGTTTAGGAAATGAATGACCCTGTGGTTTTCTACCAAATGCTACTAAAAAAGAAAAATATTGTAGCAGTGGGTTAATGAAAACATGTGAAGGGAAATCAAGAGAAGCAATGCTTTAGATTTAGAAAAGCAGTTGGGACTAGACATACCATATGGGAATCACCAACATAGATCTGGTAGTTGAAGTCATGAAGATGGATGTTATCCTCAAGAGAAAATATAGAGAAAAGGGAAGTAGGCTAAAGACAGAATATTGAGTAGTTAGAGACAGAAGAAGAGTAGTCTACTGCAAAGCCTGAGAAAGAGTAGCCAAAGTCAGAGGAGAGGACTCTAACCTAGTGTTTCTCACTCTTGGCACTACTGACATTTGAGGCCAGAGTCCTCTTTGTGGAAGGGGCCTGCCCTGTGTTTTGTAGAATGTTTAGCAGTATCCCAACATAGGGCAGTAGCACTTCCTCACCAGCTGTAAAACCAAAAATGTCTCCAGACACTGCCAAATGTCCCCCTGGGAGGCAAAATCATCCCCACTGAGAACCATTGGTCTATCCCTAATCCTCCAAGCTTGCTCCTTTCCTAGTCTTCTTTATTTCAGTGAATGTCATCCCTTCTACCCAGTTGTACAAGTCAAACCTTATTACTCTTTTTTATACTACAGAATATTTCATTATTTTCCAAAGTAAATGAAGTAACATTTTTGCAGTCTTTTCAGATGAGTCTCTCAATCTGTGAAACTAAAGACTTTAAGAGTAAAAGTTGAAATTAAGTTGTTTTATAGCTACTGTTTTAGTAAATTAAGATAAATATTGCCTATTTTAGTAAAATAACAGGAATTAAAAATTATACCAAATCCAGATATGCTATATTTATGGTAAACATCTGACTTGTGAAAACAGTCCCAACTTAAAGCTGCTGCCATCAACCTGGACTATTTATATCTCAACTGGATTTATTTATTTTTATTTTTAATTGTGGTTAAACACACATAAAATTTTCCATCTTAACCATTTTTAAGTGCACAGTTTAGTAGTTGAGTATATTCATAATGTTGTACTACCAATCTCCAGAATTTTTTCATACTCATTTAACAATGCCTTCCATTTTCCCCCCTCTCTCAGTCCTTGGTAACCACCATTATACTCCCAACTGGATTTTGTTTATTTTTGTTATACTAAAATGGAAAACTAAAGCCTTTTACAGCTAGGGCTCAAAATGATTTTCCCCATCACCTTTTCCAAGTTAAACTTTTTTTTTTTTTTTTTTAACATTGATGAAATAGGTGAACGTGAATCATTAAACCAGAAGAGGGCACTGTTAGGCTGAAGAGCTATCAAACCAGATTTTTTAAATTTTATTTTATGTTATGTTAGTCACCATACAGTACATCATTAGTTTTCAATGTAGTGTTCCATGATTCATTGTTTTTGTGTAACACCCAGTGCTCCATGCAATACGTGCCCTCCTTAATACCCATCACCAGGCTAACCCATCCCCCTACCCCCTCCCCTCTAAAACCCTCAGTTTGTTTCCTGAAGTCCATAGTCTCTCATGGTTCATCTCCCCCTCTGATTCCCCCCCTTCATTTTTCCCTTCCTTCTCCTAATATCCTCCATGCTATTCCTTATGTTCTACAAACAAGTGAAACCACATGATAATTGACTTTCTCTGCCTGACTTATTTCACTTAGCATTATCTCCTCCAGTCCCATCCATGTTGATGTAAAAGTTGGGTATTCCTCCTTTCTGATGGCTGAGTAATATTCCATTGTATATATGAACCACATCTTCTTTATCCATTCATCTGTTGAAGGGCATCTCGGCTCTTTCCACAGTTCAGCTATTGCGGACATTGCTGCTATGAACATTGGGATGCATATGGCCCTTATTTTCACTACATCTGTGTCTTTGGGGTAAATACCCAGGAGTGCAATTGCTGGGTCATTGGGTAGCTCTATTTTTAATTTTTTGAGGCACCTCCACACTTTTCCAAAGTGGCTGTACCAACTTGCATTCCCACCAACAGTGTAAGAGGGTTCCCCTTTTTCTACAACCTCTCCACCATTTGTTGTTTCTTGCCTTGTCAATTTTTGCCATTCTAACTGGTGTAAAGTGGTATCTCAGTGTGGTTTTGATTTGAATTTCCCTGATGGCTAATGATCATGAACATTTTTTCATGTGTCTGTTAGCCATTTGTATGTCTTCTTTGGAGAAGTGTCTGTTCATGTCTTCTGCCCATTTTATGACTTGATTTTTTGTTTTTTGGGTGTTGAGTTTGAGAAGTTCTTTATAGATCTTGGAAAACAGCCAAAGCTTTGTCCGTAGTGTCATTTGCAAAAATCTCCCATTCCATGGGTTGCCTCTCAAACCAGATTTGAGAAGTGTTATAGATCTGAATTTCCTTCATAATTTAAAGTGCTCAAAAGTTGACAACAGAGGGGAAATGACAGTCTCTTCTATAAATGGTGTTGGGAAAACTGGATAGCCATGTGAAAAATAATGAAACTGGATCACTGTTTTACACCATACACAAAAATTTACTCAAAACAGATTAAAGACTTGAATGTGAGACCATAAACCATAAAACTCATAGAAGAAAACATAGGCAGTAAGCTCCTTGACATCAGTCTTGGCGATATATATATTTTTTTAATCTAGCTCCAAAGGCAATGGCAACAAAAGCAAAAATAAACAAATGGGACTACAAACAAAGAAGCTTCTGCATAGTGAAGGAAACCATCAACAAAATAAAAAGGTAATGTACTCAGTGGAAGAAAATATTTGCAAATTGTATATCTGATAAGGGGCCAATATCCATAATATATAAAGAACTTATACAACTCAATAGAAAAAAAAATCTGATTAAAAAATAGGCAGAGGATCCTAATAGACATTTTCTCCAAGAAGATATGCACATGGCCAATAGTTTCATGAAAAGATTATCAAAATCACTCATTATCAGGGAAATGTAAATCAAAACCACAATGAGATATCCCCTCACACCTGTTAGAATAGCTATTATCAAAAAGACAAGAAATAAGTGTTGGTGAGAATGTGGAGAAAAGAGAACCCTTGTGCACTGTTGGTGGGAATGTAAATTGGTGCAACCACTATGGAAAACAGTATGGAAGTTCCTGAAAAAATTAAAAATAGAACTACCATATGATCCAGCAATTCCACTTATGGATATTTATCCAAAGGAAAAAAAATAACTAAAAAATATATGCATCCGGGCGCCTGGGTGGCTCAGTTGTTTCAGCGACTGCCTTCGGCTCAGGTCATGATCCTGGAGTCCCGGGATCGAGTCCCGCATCGGGCTCCCTGCTCAGCAGGGAGTCTGCTTCTCCCTCTGACCCTCTTCCCTCTTGTGCTATCTCTCATTCTCTCTCTCTCAAATAAATAAATAAATAAAATCTTTAAAAAAAAATAAAAAAAATAAAAAATATATGCATCCCCATGTTAATTGATGGATGCATGTATAAAGAAGATGTGGTATACACACACACACAAACACATATGCACACAATGCAATACGACTCAACCATGAGAAACCATGAAGTATTGCTATTTGTGACAATGTGGATGGACCTATAGTGTATTATGCTAAATGAAGTAAGACAGAGAAAAACAAATACCATATGATTTCACTTACATGTGGAGTCAAAAAAACAAAGCAAATGAAGAAGCAAAGCAAAACAAAACTCATAGATACAGAGAATAGATTAGTGGTTGCCAAAAGGAAGAAGGTTTGGGAGGTGGGTAAAATGGGCAAAGGGGATCAAGAGGTACAAATGTTCAGTTATAAAATAAATATGTCATAGGGATATAATATAGAGCATGGTGACTATACTCAA